AAGTCTGAACTTTGTATTTGCACAAGAAAGGCCGCTGAGGGTTGAAACCACACTTAGCCAAATATATACTTTCATCTTCAATTTCCCTTCTCTCCTTGAAGCCGACATGCACATTGGTGTCCGGTCAAGCCAGTTGAGGGAAAAAACATAGATGCAGACTGAAGTCGAAGACAGGATGTAGCATATTAGTCTAACCCGTCTCCTCTCAGCCTACCTGAAAGCAAAAAGAAACCGTCAAACACAGAAGCTCAAACTGCCACTGTCTGAATATTAGCATCTCTTGGATGCAGCTGCTAAGTGTTATGAAGTTGCCTTTTCACAGTCTTGTTTGCAGAATCCAGAGCATATCTTGGGCCTGTGGAGTGAATAGTGGAGCAGTGGACAAACTCAGCTCACATTTACCATTACAATGGCAGGTATTAGCATAATTCAAGCTGCTGAGACTAGGGGCTTTCTTAGGCATGAGCACCTGGCTGCTCATGCCTAGGATCAAGGATCAAGTCTTGATGGAAAAACAATCCTAAAATACTTTTGAGTTTTCCCTTGAAGCTTTTTTCTGAAGTTAAAGGATTTACGTCTTTCAATAAAGTTACATTTTTGATGTTCTGTATGTTTAAACTTTTATTTAAACCAGGTAGATTTGCAGATCACAAATTACTTTTTTTCCTGGAACCTCTTCATTCAGATTCCACCTTGATAAACAGACACAGCTCTGATTTTGTTCACTGGCCCCTGATCAGCTTTGTGGGGGCAGATTTTTAACTGCTTTTTACTATTCATCACACTGGTTTTGCATGACGCACAGTCCAAAATAATCCTTAATTATGTTGTAATGGGGGTTAATAAAGCCCCTCAGACAAGCTGCTTTATCTCCTCTGCCTTTTAAGGACACCCTTCAGTCCAGTTTGTTTTGATTTGCTGCCTGTTATAAACGGGTCATCAACACTGTCCAAAAGTAGGAAAAAACAGCGTTTTAATTCTCTGGCTACTTCTCTTACCGTCACACCGTCACATTTGGATTCAGTAGAAATGCTGACTAGCACATTCAGTGGGTTTATACACTTAAGCTGTGTCCACATTGGAAGTAATTAGCAGCGAAAGACGACCAGAGGCTGTAGAAACTTGGTGAATTCATTAACTTAAGTCAACTAAGAGCAAAATAACTGCTGGTGACGTAACAAGAGAGAAACTTCTACCAGTGTGAGCACAGGATGCTGCTGACTGATATATTAGTGGATAGAAGATACAGCATAGGGTTACCAAATGAACCAGATCCAGCAATGTCTGCAAGCGACCAGCCGTCAGCTTTAAAGCAGAGCACGATGAATGAATTGCTTCCAGTGCGGATGGCCTAGGACAGCGGTTCCCAAACTGTTTTTGCTAGGCCCCCCTTCGTTTTACAAGAAAAATGTTCGCCACACACACACATATTTTGCTCCATTGTGTATTTCACACCTCAAACATTTAGCAAACAATTAAGCAAATACAAGTAAACTGCAATAAATTACAGGCAGTAATAAAATAAACTACTAACTCTTTTATGCTGCGTCCGCACCTACACAGGTATTTTTGAACACGCAGCTGTTTCGTCCACGTAAATGTTTCGAATCACCGAAAACGGAGATTTTTTTAAACTCCTTTTTTTGTGTTTACGTGTGGACGAGGAATACAGAGTTCATCACACAACGTCAAAGGTATGTGTCTTTATTCACGTCACGCTGTGGCCACGTTATTGTTTACATGAGATGAGCTGCAGAATGGCAGATAGAGACGAACTACTGTTAATCTGACTGTCTGCAGGTTTTACACGCAGTTACTGTCCCTCTGTTTACAAAGGCAGAGGCGTCACGGTGTCATTATTTTACATGTAGTTGTTTTTTCCTGTGTAATAATGTTCAACACTGTTATCAATACATTTTTCAAAAAATGTCTCTGTGTGCAAAATAGGTTTAAAAACATAAACAGCTGTGGGATCCTGTTTGTCCGTGATTTGAACCGAGGGAACAAATCGTGGCAGGATCAGCCTGATGTTATTTGTATCCAGCTGTAACTTTACTGTATAAAGACCAAACATCTCCAACATGTCAGGAGCAGTTAGTCATCACAACAAGTGTTTGTGAACTAAAGATCAAGAATGTGGGATCCTGTTTGTCCGTGATTTGAAGAGCCCAGCGCTGCTCCTGATGCAGGGAAAACCAACCCTGCAGGGAGACCTACCTCGGCACCTGTGCAGGTGAAGCCAAAGGGCAGATTTGCTTCAACATATTTTCTAGTCTTTGGCTTAGAGTGAAGTTGGGCTGGAAACATACTCAGCGATGCTTCATCTCCTGATTTGCGTTTGTGTGGGCGCCCCGTGTTAGCAGTGTCCAAGCGGTTTCTTTTTTCCCCTCTTCATACCACGGGCCCCCCCCCTGCAATGCCTCTACGCCCCCCCTAGGAGTGGGCACCACACTTTGACAGTGTGAGAAGGATGAGTTAGGATGACCATCTCATCGCAACAACCAACCAATTTCTAACCCATTATTAGGAATGTAGCATGAATTTATCAACCCAACACTGGCGCCATTGCTGAAACCAAAACAGATTTCATGGACTAGAGGTAAAACATGCAAATATATTGTTGTTGCGCTGTTTCAGCAGACACCCTGTTGTATGATTGCCCTCTGTCTATTACCATGACTGGACCACAAGGACATAACCTAAAAAGAAAGAGCAGAGGAAATGCAAACGTGCCACGTAGCATATGATTCACTGCATATTTATCATATAAGGCTGAATACCTCAAACCAAGTTTGACACAGTGTGGCTCAAAGTAAATAACAGCAGTGTTTGCACTGCTCAGCATTTTGTGTGTGTCAACATATGTGTGTGTATGATTGCTTCTGTGTGTCTAGTCTGGCGTTTAGTCCGTCTGTGTGTGGGTGTGTGGCCACGAGGGGGTCAATGCCTGTCAAAACACACCCTTCCATGCCAGCAGACACTACTGTCTGTCCAGCCAGACAAGTTTATTGGTTTGTCCTAAAAATACAGCCCTGCTCCCCGGACCTCTCTCACCCTGTCCAGCTCCCAGGAGGCCCCTGGAATGAGACATTGCTAGCATCTACCAACTCTGATGGCCCCGCTTGTAGTATTGGAGCCTTTCCAGATGCCTGAAGGCAAACATTTGTTGTTTGCAACTGGTCAGATCTGTTTGGATTTTTAAAATTTGGTGCAAAAATAACAAACTGAGAATGATTAATGCTGTTTGTTTAGGTCTGGCATTGCTATGTTGCTTTCTCAGCATGCAGTAGAAATTATTATATCAAATGTCATCATCAGAATAATTGAATTTTAGGGTAAACTTGAGAGTGGAAGCATCAGGCCTTTGTGTGTTTACATTGCTCAGATTTAAATACGGAGAAGTATAAATATTGTTCGGTTTGAGAACGACTAAAAGGTTTATTTTTATAAACTCTTTGATACGTCTCAGGACAGCTTAAACACCCCCATCAAAAGGCACGATACAGCGGATGAAAACAAAAATAATTAAACTGACTTAACACAAAAAAACAGTAAATGTTTCCACCGGGGGTGCGTAATTTCAAAATTGATGTGAAAATATCTCGTGCTTCACAGCAATTTTCCCTCATCTTGTGCATTTTCAGCCTCCAGGTGACACAGAAAAGCTCTATTCATCCGTGTCCCATCTCAAACTGTAGGGGAAAAACATTTTTGATTTCCTGTCATTTGGGGTTTCCTCTCCCCCGGTGTTTTGTCAGACATCAAAGTCAATTTGTAGGTAATGGCGAACAGATTAGCTCATTTGAGCAAACCTGAGCGCTTTGATAGTTCTGACACTGATCGGTGTGTGTATGTGTGTGTATGTGTGTGTATGTGTGTGTATGTGTGTGTATGTGTGTGCGTGCCTGTGCATCCTTAGGGCCATGTCTGTGTCATGTTACAGGAAGGACACTGTCGAGGGGGCCTTAGCAGTTTAAACAAGCGGCGCATTACAATGCAAGGACCGCCAGTCTTGCAGTTTGACATGTAATGACAGATCGTCTCACTGCAGTGGGCCAAAGCAAACATCATCCTCACACTCATAGCGTAAAGGTTGTTGCCCCCACCAGAACGACCCACTGCCTTCCCGGCACCCTGGACACAGAAAGTAACCCCATTACTCAAACATGAACATTTCTAACTTACTGTGTTTAAATATCATTTGGAGGAGTTATGTGAAAACGGAGGGAATGATTTCTGTCTGAACTTTTATTCAACTCAAAATTTATGATATGTTGGAGACAATGAACCTTGTTTTTTTGCATGTAATGGGGATTTCACATAATTGTCTGACATTAAGGCCAAACAGTTAATCAAGACAACTATTTGCAAATTATTCTACAATAACAACGACTGTTCGTGCAGCTGTACAAGAAAACATAAGAAATGAGCCAAACATTATAAACTAGCTTTCGGTAACCCATTTAAAGCCGCTGAACAAGACATCTTTAACTGCTTTTGGTTTTCTGGAGTGATAAACTGCCAACATTAAACCTGAACTCACATAATTACATACATTACACTTCATCAACACTCACTTAGATTGAGTGGCTGCTGCAGTCGACGCACCGCAGAAGGCGTTTCTGTGTCTGCGCTGACGCACCGACAGGAGCTCTCAGCACGGCTCACATCTGAGCTGTTTTCCTTTGAAAGAGATACCGCTGTCTAAATAGATCACAGGTACTTCCTCCGCCCTGTGGAGGGGGATGCAAACAAAAACATGGTATCATTTAGTCATGGAGGATTAACCCACACTGAGTCGGTTATTTAGACCCATCTTGTCTCTGTTTCCACAATAAAACGTGTGTTTTTGGCTGCTGTTGTTATGTATGTGTTTGGATATGTGGCGCTGTTGAGGATGGTAGTGGTTGTGGAGCTCTTGTGTTTCTATCTGATCTGATTTCTATTGTGTGTGTGTGTGTGTGCGTGTGTGTGCGTGTGTGTGTGTGTGTGTGTGGCAGGCGGACATGATGTTCAATTCAGGGGTCTTCTGGATGGGCCTGTTCTTCATCCCAGTCACCTCGCTGATTTTCGACGTGGCCTACAAAGTGTGAGTCTTCTCCCCGCTCTCCTCGCTCATCATCGCTCTAATGCACATCCAGTTCAGGAAATTCCTGCAGAATCTCTCATATCTCCTGAAGCAATTCCCACCCAAGTTTTTGTCCAGACTTCCAAACGTTTCTAGCGTTTCCATTCTGCAAGTCGAAATATTGCATTTCTGGTCTGGTTGACATCAGCCTGTTGCAGATTCGAGGTGTCGGGAGCAATTTGTAATGTCAGGGTTTTTATATTTTCTGATTTACTCCGAGCAGCTTGAATTGGTCGAACTGGTTTTAAATATCAGCCTGTGGAGGTTCAGTCGTGTTCAGACATCTGCTGTATGATTCTGGTTTTATAAACCTTTGTTTCATTTACAGTGTGAAGAAGGCGTTCTTTAAGACCCTGGTGGATGAGGTGCAGGAGCTGGAGGCGCTATCTAAAGACCCTGGAGCAGTAGTGCATGGAAAGAGGTACTGTTACACCACATTACCGCTCCTCCACTCTTGCCTTTACAGCAGGATTTTGTCTGAAAGTAGATCAAATTTATGTTTAATAAAAAGTAGATGAAAATGTATGTCCCTACAAAAACATTAAGCAGTGAGAAAAGGTGATAAAATCTGTGTAATATTATAATAGTTAAAAACAAATCTTTTTCTCTAGAAAAGTGTTTGTTTGTGTTTGTATGTGAAGCGAATAAATTGTGCATTATCATTCTCTTTACTGTGCATGTACCCACACATGTAGGCGAGGAAGATTTACAGTCTTTGCTCGAGATAAATAAAGTGCTCAGCAGCACTTGTTTTTGATTTGTTTTTATATCTTTCTTTGTACCTTGTAGTCTTGGAGTCATTAGACATCCGAGAACATTTATCAAATTATCTAAATAATGACACTCGTAATTGTCAGGTTGTAATTCTCACTGGCAATGTCAGATTTTGGCAAGTGATAACACAGAAGTGCCTAAAACCAAGTAAAATGAATGCCCGGCACTAGCCAAAGTCAGTTGCTTCTCCAATCAATACCATATGACGTGAAAACAACAATTCCTTCAAGTGCCAAAAACCAAAATTTCTGTCCTAAAATGACTTTATTTGTTTTGTTGAGTGAGTACAGAGCGTTCAAGAAGGTAAAATACTTTGCACTTTGGATCATCAACAACTGCATCTTTGCATTGTTGCTTTTGTGAAACACAATACCTTGTGTTATTTATGCCGTGAAAGAAAATTGGCAGCAAATTTTGCATTCCGGCGATTAAACATTGCAAGCAGGAATATGTATGAAACATTCTGTCATCAAATTTGCAACTTTGTTTTGATATAAGCGATTAGTCTTTCTTTATTAGCGGATAAAACAACCAGATAACAACCTTTGTTTTAGCTCATCTATCATATATAAATGACAGATTGGTAGTCTTTGTAACATCGATGCAACTCCTATGAAATCAAATCCTGGGTTAAAGCACTCTTTATTGATTTGTAGTGTTACTCACATGGCTCAGATTAACAGAACGGCAAAATGACGAATTTAAGTTGTCTCGGGCTGTCATATCTCCCAACACTATCGAGACTACATAGTTAATGCCTCGGCTATTATTGTTCCTTTCACAAAATGTGAACCATTCCCCAGAATTTTGAAGATTATCCGGGAGGAAGAGTCATCTCTGTCCTCCCAAATCCCTCAAAGTGCTGTTAATACCCCGGTTCTGCTGCCAGCAGTATTCCTGTGTGAAGGAAAGAAATCTTCAAATTGCTGCTAAATTGCGGGAGTTTGACTGTAATGTCAGTAATCGTGTCATAGGAGAGATTGTCTCGTTTTTGGTTTTGTTTTTTTTTCTCCCCCTCCCAAATACTGAATGTCTCATTTTCGAACAACGGTCCTGCTATATTAAAGCCATACATTATATTTTGTATCAGCTGAAGCAGGTCCGCTCTGCTCTCTCTGGGGCCTGAGTCCGGCAGCAGCCAGCAACACAGAGCAGATCAGTGTGAGATCTGTGGCTGACTGAAAGCGATCCTCCTGCCTGGACGCTATCCCAGACCCAGCAGGCTGCAGACACACACACACACATCCGGATGCGTACAGAAGCAAACGTATAGTGATAACCGCTCAAATATATAAATGAACTTTTGCACGTAATGCTTGTAGGCAGCCACGTGCGTGCACACGCAGACATCTGTTGTTGCAAACATTTGTTAGCTGTACAGGAATGCCTTTTGGCCAAGCTGCTGCTTCAGATATTCCTCTCACAAAATCGCTTTGTTCTTCTGCGTCTGCACAGCAATGTTTCCCTACATGGTGTTTGTACCAGCAGGTATAGCAGTTGGCAGGTCCCTGCACTCTGGAGGGGCTTGGACAGCCTTGATGTATGGGTCATTAAATCTGCCTGTGGTGCTCAGCAGGCTGCTAACACACTGAATATTGCTCTGTGTGTGTGTAGTTTGACAGAGAGAGCCCAGCTCCTGAAGAACGTCTTCAAGAAGAGCACAGTGAGTCTGTACCGGTCTGACTCCATGCAGCAGAACCTGCTCCGTAAGTTACCCTCAAACCTTTTCTTTCTTTGCTTCGTTCTTTCTCATCCTTACTCGAGCTAGCTTAGATTTATTTCCTCCCAAATATGTTCTCTGTCAGGTAGGACAGATCACAGTTCGTAATTCCTCCTCTGACACATGCTACATCTCCAGAGTGTCTTCTCTTTCATCCATTGGGACACAGCAACACTCTGCTCTTTCCACTTCTTTTCACATGTAGTGTAACCAGGTGCAGATCAGTAATCGTGCCTGCAAATGGCCCCAACGTTCCCAATGTCTTGAATTAAACTTGTTTTCCAGTTGAGTTGAACTGCGCATAATATTAAATGTCACTTCTTTTTTCAATCATCTGAAAAGCTATTAGTGAAGTTGCCATTTAAAAATGGCTGTTAGTCTGCTATTAATTTACAGATTCATGGCTTCAGTTCAGTGTATTTGTTTCTCTTATGCTGGACATGAACAGTAAGTCAACATTAACATATCTATAGAAGTAAACTCAGCTGACGTTGACCTTGAAGCCTGTGTGCTTCAAGACTGAATTCACATGCCTGAATTATCCAAATATCAGGTGGTAATGACGGTGAAAATTCATCACACCGTCTTACCGACCCACAAAAGCCTGTTTACGTGATGCTTAAGAGTTATTAACAATTTTGAAATTTTAAGGTATTGGAAAAGCCGGATAAGAAGCAGAAAACAGATGATAATGAAAAAGTACCAGAAACTGGTGTGGCAGATTTGCAGTGACTCTCTAAGTGTGGGTTTGTGGTTTGTTCTTTTCTGTCTTTTGTCTGATCAGTTTGTTTTTTGTTTGTCTCATAGGTGGGGATGAGACCGTTGTTGTGTGATACCTTTTTAAATTCATTAATCAAACCTCGCCCTGTTTACATCTCCTGCCCCTCCGTAGCTTCCCGATAGACACCACTCTTCTTCCTTTTCGTTGTGTACTTCCTGTCCCGCCCCTCGTGTGCCTTCGTGTGTCCTCAGTAGCTCAGTAGAATGAGATAACGATGAAATGATGAAATGTTATTCCTCCCCCACCCCACTATGCACTCGTCACAGCGGGTTCCTTTGAACTTTCCCGCTGGCCTCCAGGTACTGAGCGGGTCATTTGACACCTGAAGGTGAGTCAGGGATCAGAGGTCAGAGCAGATCCTGTAGGAGAGTTTAGCACAGTGCTGCTTTTACGCAGAGGATAAAACTTTTGGGGGAGATGTAAATTCTCATCCTGTGTTTCCTTTTTGTCACGTGATTAATTTTAAGTCTGACGTTGTGGGAAATGTGCTTATTTGAAGCTTGTGGCAGCTCTCATATCTGTCTCTTCACTTGGTGCCTGTTGTTGACAACCATCAAGGCATTGTGCTTTTTAATTCATCTGTAAACTATTTCCAGCTGCTGCACAGTGGACGTAACCACCGTGACGCCACCCACTAGTCCCCTACTGAGGCCTTCATTTTGGCATTTTGGTCATTATGTTGGTTTTTGAAAAGGCAAATTGTCAGAAGTGCGTTAAACACGGTCAAGTTTGAGTTTAGGGACAATTAGTGGTGAGGAGACCGAGCAGAGTGCTTCACCCTCACCTCACTGGATGGGTGAGTTCTCTAAAGATTCACCTCCAGCACCGTTGTAATGTCAAAGTGGAAAATATATAGTGCATCCTGAAAGTATTCACAGCGCTTCACTTCTTCCACATTTTGACATGGTACAACCTTAGATGGATTCATTCTTTTTTGCAGAACTTTGTAAGCTCTCTTAACTTCTTTGAGATCCAGAGATGCTCAGACATTCACAGAGGGGTCCCAAAGCCACATTGTAGTCTTGGCTTTGTGCTCAGGGTCTTTGTCTGGTTGAAAGATGAACCTTCATCCCAGTCCCAGGTCCACAGTGCTCTGGAGCAGGTTATCATCAAGGACGTCTCTGTACATTGCTGTATTGATCTTCCCCTCAATCCTGACTGGTCCTCACAGCATGATGCTGCCACCACCATGCTTCCCTGTAAGGACGGTATTGGCTAGGTGATGAGCGGTGCCAGGTTTCCTCCGGACATGGCGCTTGGCATTCAGGCCATAGAGTTCAATCATTGTTTCATCAGACCAGAGAATTTGCTTCTAATGGTCTGAGAGTCCATCATTTGGCAAAGTCCTGGTTGGTGGAGTTCTGTTTTTTTCTTGTGGAAGGTTCTTTTCTCTCCACACAGCAATGCTGGAGCTCTTTCGGAGCAACCACATTGGTCTGGCTAAAGCCCTTCTGCTCGTTCACATTGGCCGAGGGGCCAGCTCTAGGAAGTGTCCCAGCCTCAATGCAATCCTGTCTTAGGATGTACAAACAATTCCTTGGACTTTATAGCTTGCTTTGTGCTCTGATATGGACTATGATTGTATATATTATAGACAGACGTGTGCATTTCCAAATCATGTTCAATCAACTGAATTTACCACAGGTGGTCTTCAGTCAAGTTGTAGAAACATCTGAGAGATGATCAGTGCAAACAAGATACACCTGATGTAATCTGTGAGTGCCATGGCAAAGGCTGTGCATGCTTATATACATGTTACGTTTTTGCCTTTTAGCGTAAAAACATTTCAAGAATTTCGGGCAAACTTTATTTCACTGCATGGTTTTGGATTGCGTGTAGAAGTTTGAGGTGAAAATGATCCTTTTTTGGAATGAGGCTATAATGTGACAAAATGTGGAACAAGTGGAGCTCTGTGAATACTTTCCTGTTAACAGGCTATAAATTTGGGCCGTTTAAAGAGGAATGATTCGCTTTTGAGTTTAGAACAGCAGCTGACTTCATTTTCAGCCCTGGAGGTTTCCAGAGGTTCCTGGTCACAACGTAGGAAACAACTTAGAAACTGTTTATCGTGCCTTGCAGAAATCTAAACAGATATTTACCACAGTGACTCTAATGTGAGAGAAGCTCAAATTGGAGCTGGCTACAGCCAGAAGCTTCTTAACTCAGCATAAAGACTGCAAACAGGATCCAAAGCTTGCCTGGCAGACAGGTCAGATGTCAGGTCGTTGGGCCTTGGTCACACAGAGACCAATGTTCCAACCCTGTGGCAAACACAGGTTGGAACAGATTGCAGGGGTCACCTTTATCTGCATTTTTCAAGTTTCATTACCAGCTGGAAGTTGATTGAGTAGTTGGCACGTGATTGCAGAGAAAGCAGGGTCTTCCATACAAGCTGACAGGACCTGGGACAAACTGTTAGCAATCAAAGCAAACACAAGGAAGTTTTTAATTTTGGGCTGTATATCTCTTTGCAAACAGTTTCCCTTAGCAACTGCCAATACCTTCTAGCAACCACTTGCCAACCAGTCAGGGAAAAACCATTTTGCCTTGAAGTCTGTGGTTGTCAGGTTACACCAAGTAGTTTCTAGGTGTGTGTGCTTGTATGTTCCACCGGGCAGGAGAGTTGATTTTCTTTTTGTTTGGTTATCAGATTGATAAAAGCCAGCATCTTCATCAGGATCTAACATCACTTTAAGTCGATACTGATTGTAGCCGAGCTAACAATGCAGATGTGAGGCCTGTACTGATTTTCAGCAAGAAAGCAACCATAAGCATATTTCCCAAATTTTAAGACTTTAGATTTTGTTTATTCTGTTGATTCATGTGTCTCATATGTGTGTTTTTTTTATGTATATATTTTTTTAATTCAATGAATTACTGATCTGTACAGTCTTTGTTTGAATTTTATTCATTATGTTCACAGATGGCTACGCCTTCTCTCAAGATGAGAACGGAGTGGTGTCTCAGTCCGAGGTCATCAGAGCGTACGACACCACCAAGCAGAGGACCAACACGTGGTGAGGCGTCGGCCTTCTTGTTCACGGCCGGCCAGCTCGGAGCCACGGCGGCCGTTTCCAGTGGCGATATTTGAAGCTTGACGGGGAGAAGCGGTGGTGTGTGCGTGTGCCTCCGGCGCTGAGGGGAAGGGGGGTTTGGAAAGAGACAGAAGAAAGGGACATTGTGTCGTCTTTGGGAAAAAAGGGATTTAAAAGAAAAAAACAAGGAACAAAACAAGTCACGTTCGCTGTCAGCTGTAGTTGTGTGTCGCGCAGACATGATACGAGCACTGTGCTTTCTTAGCAGTCTGTGGTCTGAAGTTCTTCACTGTTCGTTTGTCTCCTTTCTGTTGATTTGAGCCAAAAGCCTAAAAATCCTTTTAGTAAATCGAAATCAAACACCGGACAGCGATTGGTTTCAGACGCTTTTGCACTCGTGAAAGATTGCCAAGGAGCAGTCGTATATACAATCGTCCAAGTACTAGTGAATCTGAGAAAAAACGTTAAAGCAGATGTAATTAAAGTCCTGTGTGTCCAGCGCGACACAGACCACATCAGAGCAGATGTTTGGACATGTTCGTTTTGTTTTTGCACTCGAGGAAGCATCTGTTGTGTGAAGCCTTACATTTTATTATGCCTTTTCTTTCCGTCGGTTTCTTTTCAGATGCATTTTATACACATGTAGATACTGTGCCTCGTTCTTGCCTCTTCATTTATTTATGTTTTTTCTGAAGAAGTTGCCTCCTGCAACCTACCGTAGTCCTGTGTCCACCGTTTTCGCAGCAGACGTATTGCTCTCGACTTAAAATTGCATTCCACGCATCCGCTCCCGTTTCAACAATCACAACGGTGCCTACGTCAAACTGTTCCCTCTTAGAAGAAACAGATCGCTTAGACCAGTGCGCCGCACACACACTTACTGTCTCCCCACCACAGAATTGCACTCCTACAATGTGAAAACTACAGATTTGTTCCTGCAGAGGTGAAGAGGAGGCTCTCTGATGGGTTTTTCGTTGAAGCTTACAGTGGCAGCAGTGGTTCCCTTCAAATGGAGATTTTATCCCTCTAACATAAGTGCCATTAGCTTAAGGGAGAGAGAGAGAGAGAGATTAGCCAGGAAACTCCACGACAGTATCAAAACTGCTCTGTCTCTATAGTTATTTTGTGGATTTGTATTTTTATATTGGAGACGTATGAATTTTGCATCGACCGGCTTTGTAATGAATCGTCTGTAACGTTTCGTTTTTTCTTCCTCTGATGGCGGGCTAGATTAGACGTGACGAGGAAACCGAGCTTTCTTAAATGTCTTGTTATTATTAATATTAATATTGTTACAGCTTGATTTATTTATAATTGACTAATGTCTGTGTGATTGCTTTCTTCTCCCTATGGGAGATCAGATTTCTGATGGTGCGAGTGTGTGTGTACGTGTGTGTCGGTTTTTGCTTGCATGTGCATGTGCCGTACGAGTGTGTGTGGGTGCGTGTGTGTGTGTACCTCTACTGTGGATAATTTCTGTGTATGCACTGCATGTCTGTGTCCTCTATGAAAGACTGGGAGGTTTCTGGCACCTCAGTCCTCCTGGTGTGTTTCTTTTATTGTATATTTGTGTGCGCGCGCGTGTGTAGTGACGCTTGCTCAAGTTGTCCGTCTGCACGACTCCAGGTATAGCTATGGTGTACTAACGTGTGCCGATGCATGGCCTGTATGGGAACGCGAGGCTGCCGGCGTGCGGGTGTTCGCGGTGAAACGCTCGACCTCGACTGTGAGAGTTTCTGACGCACCGCTCGCTTCGACAGATGTTTGCACAATGCACTCGATGTACCTTTCCAGTTGTGGATATCTGGTATTTTCTGGTTTCGGTGTAGATTTCTCTTGAGTGTACACGTTTGTGACCTTTTTTCCACGCAGTGTACCTCCTGCTTTACAGGAAAGCTCATTTGTGTTTTGTGTTTCTGATTATTTTTCTCTGCTGGTCTTTGGCGTGAAAACTTAATCGGCTGTCATCTTGTCAGAAACTTTCCAAACAGCAGAATGTGGTTGTCGTCGTTGTGGAAGGTTTGGACTTTTGCTTTCTTCTCTTTCTTTTCTTCCCAGAAAACATAAAACACACGTCGTTGTCTGTGAAGGTCGTGGGCTGCATGAATGGAAAACAAAAACTGTTCTCCGAAGTGTTAACCGTACTACTTTACTTCTCCCTCAAGTGTTGATCACTTTACAAAAGCGGAAACAAAAAAGGCGCACCTTCTAACTTTTCTTTTCGATGATTCGTTTCCTTTCTGTCTTTTTGTTCGATGATTGTTCTGCATGTTGGGACTGCAAACTTATAAGTGTTGTCTTTACTGCCACGAAGGACTACTGAAATAAACTTTACAATCACTGACGAACAATGTGGAAGTCTGTTATTGCTTTTGTGTTATTTGCAAATTTGTAATCAGCGTGTGTGGCGACAAACTGGAGAGAAAATCCAAACAGGAAAAGGAGGGACGGCCATCGGCCTGCGAGCACGACAAACAAATTATATCAATAGACTTCTCATTTGTTATGATTGCGGGGTTTACTCGAACTTCTCGTGTGATCCCACACAGGCTAAGTCCTGTTTGGCTTTTCAAATTCTTATTGTTATAATCAAGGTCCAAAAACTTCCCTTCATTAGTTGATTGACAGAACATTTTTTTATACATAAACACTAACAATTCTCTGGTTACAGCTTCTAAATGTGGGTTTATTATTGTAAACTGTAACAGGATATCGTTGCATTTTTGCATGATGATCATTGGAAGCGTTGTAAGACGCCGGCCTAAGCCTTCATTTCTGTGACTGCTTTGCTATTTGCAGATATTTTACAGACTGAAAAACAAATAAATAAATAAAACATTAGTGTGGGGAGATTAGGTAATGAAATAAATACCGGGTACATCTGAACTATAATTATTTTTTCAAGCTGGAGAGTGCAAGCTTTTGCTGTTGGTTGATGAGGTGACACCTGTGGTTACTGGTGGTGGGAGCAAGTGTGATTTTATTACATTCAGAAGAGGGTTTTTTGAGCAGCTGCTTTTTTCTACATTTTCTGTACAACTGCTATCGACACCAGGACTCTACTAGACTCTATTGGAGTGACTTTACATGTTTCATTGTTTAAAATGCTCTTTATGTATCTTATACTGGAGGGTAACCCCTCAGTTTACACGACTGAAAGCCAGTTTTCTTCTCAAATAGCTTTGAGTAGCAGGTGGGTTGGGATGCTGCCGACTGGAGATGCCAATATTAACCCTTTAAAGCCTGAACCATGAAATAAATGCCAAGAAATTCTAATCTTTTGAAGATGGAGTGTTTATTAAACCCTCATTATTTTAAATTAATTAAAAATACTTTGAATATATTTCTGTTAATTGTGATTTATTGCTTAATAACGTATTGTACAGTTGTTAAAGGATTAAGAAAATCCCCTCTCAAAACATCATACAGAGCCAGGGATTACTTGTATATGCTTGGACAAGTTTAATGGCGATATCTGTAATGTTAACTGTGTATTTGTGGTGCATCTGTTAAAAATATAATAAAGCAATCTACAGAAGTCTGGTGGTTTAAAAAAAAAGTCAGAGGATTCAAAAGTTTAGGCCCTGAGAACAAATACAAAACTTGAATTGTTATAAAATCCACACGATTGTTTTAAATAAAAACATTCACTGTGTGGAGAATTGGGTTCCTACCTTCAAGGATAACTTGGAAAAGAAGTCGGAAACTTTTCTGAGCCTGGCAAAAACAGAGGATTCGATGTATCCAAAAGGTTTAGGAAATATCATGAAAACATGTTCGCGACTTCTGTTTTCCTTTCATAAGCAGAAGGTGATACAGAGGTTTGAACTGACAGCTGCAAGTTCAAACAAGACAGGATGGAGGTAACACTCCGACAGACGTTATTCATGAGAGCTGTATTCTGTGATAAAAGACTTAACGGATACCTGAACGCAGCAGCAAACATCCTGAAGCCGAACAGCTTTCGGGTTTCGTGACAAACCGGTTGCCAAGTGTGTTTCACAGTCAGGTAGCCGGGTAACAGAGCAGTCTTTGTGGAGGTTTTGCCATACCTGCTGGTGCAACCCAAACCTCTATTTCTGGGGTGAGTTGTTTTTAACACTGTGACCACGCCATGCTCATTGAGCACTGACAATGACTGATCTCAGCGCTGCATTCCTGCTGTGAAGTCTGGCGCGAGAATGAGCGACAGGTAGGGAGATGATGTGCCGGCCTGACCTCTCTGGTTTCCTTTTTGTCTCAGTGATGATGATGATGATGATGAAGCCCCGTCTTTCTGGACAAAACTGTTACTTAATAAGCTTTACATCAAACAGCACACAAGTTACTATGAGACAACATTTATTTGCTGAAGTTTAAGCAATCAATCAGAAGAGCTGTAAAATCCTTTATATAACATAACATTTCCTCCAAAATAAAACGTCTCTCATTCCCAAGTCCTTCCGATTGTCAGAAAAAGGAATTCTCTGGTTTCCCAAGTCTGTTATACCTCTGTTAATGCTTAGCAGAATCTGGTGACGGCAACATCTGTTTTTCAGGAAGATCGCTGATACATTTCCATCTTGAAACATCAACAAATGGAAACCATGGAGATCTGTTCACAAAGTAAAAGTGCATACATTTTACAAATGGTGTCAGATCTGCTGATGTGTCCTGTGCTGCAGACAGGGAGTACCTCGGGCCATGCTGGTCAACCACAGCAGCTCTGTCACGCTTTGTGCCTACCCTCCAGCAACTCGCTCTGCGGCCAATTGGCCGGGCCTCATGCATAGCTTCTCTGGCACCAGCCTCGTCTGGCGTGTTTCTGTCTGTGACAGGTCGCATCCTGCCCACTAAAAATTGTGTAATCCTCTATTTCCCGTGCTGAGAGCCCTGTCAGCTCTGTCCAAAGTCAGCGAAGCCCTTGGTTGCTGCGAAGGCGTCAGGCTGCAGAGGGAAGAAGTACTGCTGGGGAAGAAGGAAGCTGGTGTTCTGGGACGAGTGAGTGGCCATCGGGGGCTGATGGAGCTGCAACTGGGTGTGGGATGAAGGCAGCGGGTGCTGGATCCCTCCTGTCATGGGTGCTGGTGGGGATGTGTAAGGGGGAGGTGGAAGAAGAGTCTGTGGGGTCTGGGTGGGAGTGGAGGCTGACGATGAGACGGTGGCTGATACCAGGCAGCCATGCTGCTGCTGCCCCTGACCTCCGAGAGAAAACCTCCGCATGGAGCTACCTCCTCCGGCTGAACTGGAGCTGGTGGTAGCCGTGCTGGACTGCCGCGATGGGGCTCGCAGGCTTGGGGGAGCCGTGGTAAGGATCATGGGGATCGTTTCCCCCTGGCAGCTGCGTAAAGAGAAGCGAATGGGCTGCTGGGTCGGCTGCTTGGGCCTGAGACACGTGCAGCAGTAGACAGCCACCAGTGAGCCAACTATGATAAAGGCGATGAAGATGCTCCCCACCATCAGGAAGGGCACGTAGATGGGCTCTGTGGGGAAGGAAACACGGGCAATTTTTAAAAAACAAATCTGTAATATTAAACCATTTATCATACATTTCATCAGTGACATCAGCTTATTTGGGTTTAACACAACTTACTATGTAATGTGCATACACCAGCCTCAAAATGTTTGCATAAGAGGAAATAAAGTTAGCAGCTCCATTACAAAGTCCTTATAAGTTTCACATAAAGTCTTACCTTGCGATAAACTAAGAAGCATGACTGTAGCTGTTAATAGTGGGAAAAATTGTGCTAAACGTTTCTAATCATGACATTTCTTTTAGGTTCTCCACAACGTTACGAACAAACAAAAGTCACATTCCTGCTGAAAACACAAACATCTCAAGTTACGCTTCATGAAGCCTTTTCACCAAAGAAATCCACATTAGTGTTTATTTATTTTTAAATGGGAAAACTGGGAAATTGTGAGCATACGATCCACTCAATTAAAGGCTTATAAGCTTATCCGTTGGGGAAATTTAAAGAAAACTGATAAAACCTCCCCCAACAGCAGGTCAGTCTAACACTCAAACGCCTCATAAAGAAGCCACAGAAAGGACTCGCCGTCTCCTGATGTTGTGATTACTTTAGTTTAGAAATTAGTGAGCTGTCAAAGCTAATGCGCTTTATTTCTGGGCAGCATAATAGACCTGTCTGTGTGAGAAGGGTTACACTCTTCAAAACATTCCTGGACTGCAAACCTGCGCCGCTTGATCAAATTTCCAACTAATTTCTGCTTACAAATTTTTGACAGGAATTTGTTTAAAGAGGTTTTAGCGGAGTGACTGGCGGGGTGGGTCATCGAAAACGTGTCCAGGTTTCCACTTTGCACTGATAATAATTTGGAGTGTGATGGAAACTCAAGGGAGCTGGATAAGAGCAGGTGGAACCTGGAGCCTCAGGCAGATTAATGCTTCAAACAGCAAAGGATGTAAACCTCATATAAGAAAGCTGCAGTGGAAAAAGGTCTTACAAAACGCATTTTATACTCATTTCATATTTGAAATTCATATCAGAGTGCATTAGTGTCCTTCAGCAAAGGCACTGAACCTCTGAGTGCTCTGTGCTGTCTTAATTGTTCAGCTGACCTCTGACCTCTCTAGGAGGATCCGCTATAACTTAAATAGGCAAGTCCTTCTCACAGCGTCTCCGTGTTTACCTTTTAAACACTACAGGGTTAAATAAAGTAAACTGAGAGTTTAGTCATGTGTGTTTTTCTCCATTCAACTAATTAAACTCTAATAAATTTGGATTTTTCTGAGGTCTTGCTTAAATTACGCACATAACGAAGACCCGAGGAAATCGACACCACAATCTTGGACCTAAATTAGCTTAAAATCAGTGAACCTACGCGCTGCAAACTCGGTGTTATCCACCTCCCTGTCGTTGGTGCAGATGCCCTGGTCCAGCCGTGCGTCCGCTGCGGCGCAGCAGTAGCGCAGCGCGCAGGAGCCGCAGCAAACTGTGGCGTCCATGGTGTCAAAATCCTCCGGACACTGGAAACCCTCGTGATAATTTCCATTTGAGTCCAGCCACCCGTGGCAATACTCTCCCTGAGCATCCGATATCCGGAGATTCCAGGTCAGATATCCCAGCAGCAGGCAGCTCAACAGGCGCACCATCCCGACGAGCCGCTGGGGTTCACGTTCCCTGCGTCCAGTGGGCTTCAGCTCAAAGCCTCAGTCCAAGTTTACACACTTTTCATTTGTGTTAATTCACCAAAAAAGAAGCTAAACGATTGGATCCTAAGACGTGAAGTTAGGTCACCGTCATCTTCCCAGCGCTGGAATCGCTCTCAGTCTGCAGCTGCTCAAAGAGGGGGGGAATCCTTAATTGAATGCTCTCCGGGTTTCTTTTAAAAATCTCATTACGGAACTTCACTCTCATTCAAACGGGCTTCAATCACCAGCTGATGCTGAACAACTTGCTTTGGAGTGTCGCTCCAAACTCTCCCGTAACGCGCCTGTGCGTTAAAGTGTGAGCAGAAGTTGTGCGCCCACCTCACTGCAGTTTTGCTGTTTTTGTGGTTGGGGCTGGGGATGTGTGTGTGTGTGGGGGGGGACTAAGCGCGCACGCAACCTCTATTAACCGGACGTTGGGGATCACGTGGTGCAGAGGGAGCCCGGCGTGACTCTAAACGCTTCATTCCAATAAAGCCGCTCAAACAAGGCGCACGAGCTGGGCCACGCTTGTGTGCGAACTCTGCGGCTGCGCTTTAAAGCAGGTGAACGCGGAGATATGTGACTCCAGCTTTGCTCATCAGCATTTTATGTTGCAGTGCTGCACACAGATGAGCGTTTTAATTCTTCTTATTCCAGCAGCTTCTAGCAGCTGCCGAGCCTTACTCATTTTATCATTCACCTCACGTGTAATTATTACGGTCACGATCGCCCTGCTGTTGTTTCATATTAGAGAGAAGTAAGAAGAAGTCTCCGCTAAAAGCAGAGAAAAACAGGTCCGTCTATTAAAAGCTCCGTTAAAAGGTATCGAGGCGGCGCCCCCGCGTGGCGCTGCGAACTTTTAGCCCCGTGGGCTGTTGGACAGCTGCTGGCCTGCCTTTGACGGACATCAGGTGAAGGGACTAAAATGATCACAGACACGTGATTTTGTTTCCCAGTGAGTAGGTGTGCGGCTGGCAGTGCCCTTCAGCTTACCTGTTTATTGTAATCAGCAGTCGGGTCAAATCAGGGACAGTGATTAGGCCAATAATGCTTTCTTTACATTCTCATTTATCAACTCATTCGTTTTTATTTGTTAGTAATTTTCCATTTCAATTTAAAAAAAACAATACTTTGATATTGTCTTTTGGCCTGTTTGATTTTTGCCCTCAGGTTCGGTTATGTGTGGAAACATTTTCCTTCCATCTATGCCCGCGCTTTGAGCTCAGTAGCAAAATGGCCTCTGCCTTTTCTTCCTTTCTCCATTCTGTTTCATTATTTATTTATTTCTCTCTCTCTTTTTTTAAATTTTCAGATTGTAGGCTAACTGCTACAGCGCCCCGTTGTTCTCGCTGAGGATGTTGGCTACAAAAGGAGGCAGCCAGTGGCGCACAAGTCCCGCCTGTATTTCCCTCTGGAGGAGTCTCGGTATCGGCGCCCCCGACTGGGGATTGGAGCGGCGACTTGTCAGTAAATTAGCCCACCCTTCACAGTGTTTGTGAGGGAAACCGAGACAGTGACGGTCTGATCCCTCGCTTATCAGCTGCCTGTCACACCAGCACGCTAAGATACCGACCCGCAGCCATCCGCCGCGCTGTGACACCTGGCCGGTATGGAGGGAGAGATGCAGCCCGCAGATGAAGGGCCGTGCGCCCCGAAGATGTGCCGACAGCAGCGGGGTCCGTACAGCACCCTAAAAACCTTCCAGAGCAAGCGCTCTGCGGGCAAGTCGCGCTTTGACCGGTCCGCTGTGGTCGAGATGCCCCTGTTTGGAGACGGGCATCATTTCACTTTTCACCCCGAACAGCCTCATCCTTTCCAGCCGCACCATCATCAGCAACAGCGTCTGCAGCAGCAGCAGCTCCACCAAACCGGCGTTTCTATCAGCAGCAGCCAGCAGCATCACCGGACGACTCAGCAGCAGCAGCAACGTTTCCCATGTGAGACCAGGCCCAGCAGCAGGGTTCCGACATCCACCTCAGCGGCAGCATCTCTCGGTAGCCAGCAGCGGCACGCCAGCAGCGGCGGAGCAGAGCCCAGATTTTCTCCGGACTGCACCTACGGTATCAGCACAGGTGGGTTTTAAACTTGCCCAGAGTGTGGCACGAAAGTCACTTCTCTTAACGTCTAGGATATTCAGACTTTTACAGTCGTTGAGTCCAGATTAGTGAAACGCTGGAACAGTTGTTTTTCTTTCTTTTGGTTCGCCTTTTAGATGAATGAGTGCAAAGCTTCCAGAGTCAATAAACTTAAGGGTTGCAGGCAAAAAGCCAACATGTCTTTTGTTTGTCTTACACCACCTTCATGTTTTTGTTCCCATTTCTTGCTCCTGTCAGCAGTGATTGATTTGCTGTTGTGATGAGAGCAGTCATGATTGAATCTCTAGTGTGCATGTGCTAAAAATTACACCGGGTAATTGTCTGCGCCTGTGTGTTTACTTGCGAATGTATATGTGTGTGTGTGTGTGTGTGTGTGCAAGAAGGGCTCTGTCTCCTGTTGTAACACATTGTTCCCTGCTCATTTTCTTCTCAGCTGCTGTTCATTAGAGGGGTGCACAGGAAGAAATGTGTTCCCCATGTGGAGGGCGGGTCCATGGGAACCAGCATTAAGATGAAAGCAATGAACCTAACCCTGGCATTACCAAGATTAAATATTAGACATCTCATCCCTTAATCAGATAATAATCTCGTTATCACTGCTGGCAGCAAAGACTCAATTTGCTGCTGCTTATTGTTGCTTTGGAGACAATCAAGTGCTCAGCCAGAGCTCCGGTCTCACTGCAAGCCCTGTATTAACTAACTTAGATGTGAAATGGCAAATTTGTGCATCAGGTAGGGCATATTTAACTTTTAAGTGATCGTTTATCTTTGACCAGCTCGCATCTGTGAAACCTGGGTCTCTTTGTTGTTTGCATCTATTTTGGCATGCACATGATCCTGATATCACTAATGAAACAGTCACATAAAACTGTGTTTTCCCTGCTCTAGTGAATCAGCCTATAATACACAAGATGTATCATCCAATCAGAGCTAAAGCGTGCCATGCATTTCTTGCTGATAATGACACATCAAAGTGCTTCTATCTACACCACAGAAACAACTTAATGTTCCTCTTATGGCTCGGAAAAAGAAGAAACTTGATGTCCTTTCTTTCACCGGAGGGCCTGGGATTCAGCAATCAGTTCAGCACACAATAACACAAATTGCATTGAAAAGCCTCTCCCAAAGAGTTGTGATTAAAATAAATGGGTCTCATAAATTTTCCCTCTGCCGACCGTGTTGTTTTTAATGAAATTTTATGAGACTCTCAGCTCGCAGTGCCACGGAATTGGTGAGAGAAGGAGACGAGAGTGGGGGCGGGGTGCACGGTGAAGGCGAATGATATCAGATACATCTCGACGGGTAAACAGAGACGGCACGCATATTAATAAATGCGACACATCTGCGCCAGGCTGATAGACACGTCTGAGCGAGTGGGAACGCAGCAATGGCCGCCTAGAATTCATTTTGTCTGTGTGTGTGTGTGCGCGTGTGTGTGTGTGTGTGTGTGTGAGGCCAGTGGACTCATAATCATTACAGAGAGGTGTGTGTGAGATCATCTCATTAGGACGTGCCTAGACTACCAGGGAAACTATCCACTGAGGCTTGTTTCTGGACAATAGCTCCATGCTCATTTTGTGAAACTGTGACTTTAGAGTTTATTGACATCTGAATAAATCTGTATAATCAAGCTGACATTTCCATGAGCAGAGGAGCCAAGTGTCTGCTGCTCTACTGGAACACTTTGCCACAATAAGACGTGGCAGAGAGCAAAAGAGAGCAAAGAGTAAAGGCAGGCGGAAAGAGTACAAACTACAACCCCAAGAAACCCAATGCACACAATCACTCATGTTGTTGCCAGAACTGTAGCAGCTTAGAGCCTCATGTTTCAGCACTGGTGAAAAGTACAATATGTTTCATCAGGTAAGAACCTCAAACCTGATTTTACAAGCGAGGGTTCCTGCTTCAATGCATTTCAGAACTTGGACATCTGTCAGCAGAAGTTATTGGTTACTCTGCTGTTTAAGACTTCAGTTAAAAAAACAAACACAAAGCCAAACTGAAGATTAAACCAGGGGGCTTAACACAGCATGTCGCTTTAGCTGAGGCATCGTCCTGTTTTAGGTTTCTATGCAATTCAAGCAAAACCATTTCCCTCTAAACACCTTCGTGTTATGGATGTATTAGTTAGATCCACCAATTTGGAGAGCGAACACAGGAGACACAGATGCAACGTAAAACAATATAGATATACTTATTTTCTTCTTATTGCATCAGGTAGAACCATCCCCGTTCTGACAGTTGACCTTTTAAAACCAGACAGTTTCTCTACATTTATCCCTCCTTCTGGATCAGATGTCATCAACTCAGCTGCCTCTAGTTTGTCTTTCAGGCATTTATGTTTCCTGCACCCAGGCAGACCCTGTATAGGTGACACCAGAGTGAAGATGTAAGACCACGCGCCCTTTCATCAAATTTAAAGTAGCAAACACAGACCTCGCTGTAATAAGGAGAGGTGATCAAATCTGTCTCACACAGTGCAAGAAGATCAGATTCTTAAACTCAGGCACAACAATGCTTTGTTTAAAATCTTACTAAGAGAAGTGAAATCACAGAAATCTGCGAGTTATACTGTCCTGGCTGTGCTTTTCCTTGCACTTTGACCTTAGATTTTAACTTAAGGTACTGCATAAATTAAATAACACCCATCGATTTCCTTTACGTTGGAACAAAATGCAGGTACATCCTGGACAGGTCACGAGTTCAACACAGAGCTAACCCACAGAGAGAGGCAATCGTTCACACTCAGGTTCAATTTGCAATCACCAGTTAAGCAAACAAGCATGTCTCTGGAAAGAAAGCAGACTGCATGCAAGCAGCGATGGTGCTAACCTCTGTGCCACCGTGCTGCCCTGGACAGACAAAACCCTTCAATTTATGTTCCAGCTTATGAGCAGGATCGTAAAAGCAGCCGTACAAAAAGAGAAGCACTAATGCTGCATGTCACACCGTACATGACATTATTAGATTGTTCACATTTTAGAGGGATTTTGCAGTTGTAGCTTTTCAAGGTGTTTTAATAATTGCAGCACTTAAACTGTGTAGTCCACTGGTACGTCACGCAACGTTTGATACAGGAAGTGTAAAGTGTGCTCATCTCTGAGGTATGAATGGTGTAGGCTATACTTTGCATGTGTGTCTCCTGAAGGATTACTGCTGCACAGTAGAAGTAAAGCCAGATAGTAGCCAACAAAGAAATTATTTCAAGCCTCAAACTCCTCAAGGACTTGTCTGCAGCTTTTGAGCTTATCACTACATCCTCAGCAGTGACTTGAGTTTGCTCACTTGTCCTGAAATCCTGTCAGTGTAGGACTGTCTGCCTGTGTTAACTGATTGCATTGGTTAGTGGGTCAGCAGGGAGCATGTGAAAAAGCCAAAAGCTCCAGCGAGTCTTATAAATGGACCTTGAGGGCAATGTTTGCTTGAGTGACTCTGCAAACACAAGCAGCTCATCTTAAATCCAATGACTGGCTGCTAATGTGAATGTCTGTTGTCTGCTTCAGAGAACCGTCTCATCTTAGATGCCTTCGCCCAGCAGTGCAGCCGAGTCCTCAGCCTCCTCAACAACGGGCGTCTCCTGGAGCCCTCCTCCTCCTCCGCCTCCTCCATCACCTCTAACATTAAGCTGGAAGACGGGCCAGGGGACACTCAGGGGCTTCATTGCTCCTCACAGGGGAAGTCTAAATCCGAGGAGAGCTCTTCCACCACAGACCCTGAGGAGGAGGCTCAACAAAGCCATTTGAACCAACAACAGACCTCTGCAGTTCTCCGCATCTTCACAGACTCCCTGCAGAACTATCTGCTCTCAGGACCTCAACAACAGCACCAACAGCAGCAACATCTGTCTGCTAGTCTGGAGGACGAGCAGTGCCCGGCACCTGAGTCTGGTTCAGGAGTGTCTCCTCCAAGACACAACCTGGGAGGATGGGGCTCCCCGACTCCATCAGAATCATACGGCCACCCCTCGTCCACACTGCCTGAGGAGGAGGAGGAGGAGGAGAACTGCTGTCCTCGCTGCCTGGAATTAGAGCAGGAGGTGTTGTCTCTGCAGCAGGAGAACGAGGAGCTCCGCAACAAGTTGGAGAACATCCCAGGTGCAGTAATAACAGCCAGGACACAGTGATGACTGCTTTGATCCTCACTCAACTGGGGACAGGAAATCTCTTCATCCCACAAATCTTTTTTTTATATGCTGCCATCTGACTTTTGATTTCATGTGCACGGCATTAATCGGTACCGATGATACACATCAGTGCTATTTACAAAGCTTGTTATCGAGGGCTTCTGGGTAGTTGCTTTGCTTTATACTCTTATTTACTCATATACACGTAACATGCATAACATTTGTGTTGACATCATCACTGGAAGGACAGCAGAATCAAAGTCGGATTCTAATATAAACATTTAAAGTCCATGTAGTCAAATCCATACGTGTCATCTTTCTTACAGCGTTTATATGAGTGTTTGTTTTCATCTGTGAAAAATACTGAGCACAAAATGTGCTTGTGAGATCAACAAATTATTAGGAAGTGCTTCATTTTCTTCCTCATGCTTTTGCAATCTAAATGCATCCCACAGTTTAAAAAGTGTGTTCAAAGCATCTATTTTTGTTAACTTGTCTGCTCTCCCCAAAGCATCCTGAGCTCCCTGTTGTCACACTAGCCTAGTTTGCACTAAAACAACTTATTTTAACTGCACATAAAATTCTGTGTACAGTGTCTGATCGTGAAAAACCAGGTTGTAAAGATTTGTTAAAAAGGAAGAAAACAAAGCAGGGTGTCAGTGTTTAAATGCAGCAGATGGGTTGTTCTTTGCTGCGATTTTGACCCTGGGCTTCTCTTTATGGTAACGTTCGCTTGTTTTTACACAGTTCCCTGTCAAAATGTTCTTGACTACTTCAAGACTGTTCTCGAGTTCCACAACCAGCTGGCCCAGCCGATGCCAGAGGAGCAGCTCACAGAGGTGAGGAAGCAGCCCCCTCTTCATTATTCAGAGCAGATGTCATCAGTAGCATATCTTAAGGTGGGGAAATATCACATCAGGTCAACAGTGCATTAGAAATGTCTTCATGCGGATAACTGTGAATGTAAGTGATGTGAAATTAAAAGCTCTGTCTATACAGGAAGAAGAGCGGCAAACAGTCTTTGAGGTTTGTGTCTTAACTTCTTGTTTGTTTGTTTTTAATTACATGATAGAAATGTCATGGAAAGCAACATCTTTAGTTTTCTCCTCCTCCTCCTCCTCACAGGGCAGTAAACAGCTCCTGGAGAACTATCCACTCTTCATCACCAATAAGCAGTGGGACGAAGCTGTCAACTCCTCTAAGAAAGATGGCAGACGGCTGCTGCGCTATCTGATTCGCTATGTCTTCACCACAGATGAGCTCAAGTTCTCCTGTGGTTTAGGCAAAAGGAAGCGGTCAGTCCACTCAGGAGAGGCAGGCCTGGAAAGACGACCGCTCAACCCTGTTAAAGTCAGCTGCCTCAGAGGTAAAACTACAAAACATTATAGTTCAAGGCATACTTTAAATAGGAGGAAAACATTACAGGTTATTACTGTTTAAATACAGAAGATGTGGCCAGTTTCTATTTATGGGTCTATTTGCTCAAAAGGTCTTTTTACAAATTGCTTCACTCAAGGCTTGAATCAAGTGTGTGAAATATCCTGAGACCTTTATTGACACAGTTGTACGACTCTCATGTTAATCTTTTAATTATAAAATATGTTATTAGTGTTGCTTGATTGCCATAAGTGGCTTTCTCATTAGAGTGCTCCACTTCTTTAAACCACTGACAGACCTTAAAAGCAGCAGCAGCTATCTACAGTCTAAGATCTGATACATATGGGGTTTGTGGTCATGTGATGCAGATTATAGCAGCTTAAATTAAAGTTGTCTTAACTCCGGTTGCTAGGCAAAACCAGGAAAGTTTATGTGCTATTTACATCTTACACCCAGAAAGCATTCAGATCCCTTCACATTTTGCTCTGGATTTAGTTTTAATGGATAAAAGTGCTCTTGTCTTCATGTTTGCCTTGTGGCAGTGTGGATGGTGGAACCTTACACACATGGGTTTGCTTTTCCGAAACTGTCCCATACGTTCATTTTGCCACATATGGACTCCAATCAAGGTTAATTAGCTCCTTAAGTCGTTGCCTTTTTTAATTCGATTTCCACCTGAAAAAACATCCTGACTTTCATCGGTGAAAGCTCAAAGCTGTGAGGACTAAACGAGCAACTGTGGGAGAATTTTGAAATTTGAATTTTCTGCATACTCATTTATCACTGTATACAAAATGTTATGTGACCGCAGTGAAGCACAACAATGCTATATCCATTTAGACTTTTGAACATTGAGTTGAAATCTATACGGCTGTGTGTGGTGGAAGGGATTCTAATAAACTGGATGCATCTGCTTATCTTAGAGAGCCACAGCAAAGAGTCACACTACTTGTAAATGAAAGATTTCACTTTATGCTTTTAGTAAGTTTGCAAAAAAGAAACTTAAATCACATTTTTGTGTCTTTTTGGTTATTTGAGCATAGACTGATGGGAGAAAGTGGGCATTTTTAACCATTTAAAATTCAATACAGTGGCTTGGGTCTAAAAATGTTATTCAATAGACGGACAGATAGTATTTAGCAAAATAAAATACATCTCTGGATATGAAACACAAACTCATGATGGTGTAAATAAATATTTATAAGTTTCAAAGGTGATAGGTAGAAGTCTAACACTTACCGTTATAAAAACAACCAAACAGAAAACTGAGCTTTATACGAGCTACCGTCATTCTCATGGCTACAGTTATATGTGCGTCACAATAATAATGGAGTGTAACAGCTAGATGAGCAATATTCCCTGAATGAAGCAGAAAAACCAAACCACTTATTTACCGATTTAATCCATCCTCATAGCAGGAGTCTATAATGAGTTTTTTTGTTCTGTTTTACTCTTGTATAGTATTAAAACTAATGTAAATATTACATTTTTAATATAGTTGATATGTGGCTTCCAGCATAGTTTAATATTTATTATCAACCATGGAAATTTCATTTGAATTATATTTTTTAAATTCAATATTATTTATCATAATCATCTCACTGCTATAGATCCAGCAGTTTCCAAATATCATATATTTAGTTTTACTTAAGTTAAATATTAATTTGTTATTATCAACCCAGATTTTTAATTTATTTAATTTTTACATTCTGAAGTTGTTCCAAGTCATTACCACAGCACATTAGCCTGTTGTTATCTGTTGTTTGTAATGTTCTTCTAATTTTACGCATATTATTCATGTTCAAAATGAACTTCAGTGGTCCTAACACAGATCCCTGAGGAACTCGACGTCGCAGTTTTAAATTGTGAGTCGATATCAGTCGATCATCAAAGATTGAACTTTTTTGGTTATTTCCTTCCTCTTTGGAGCTAAACACCCAAACACCACCCAATAAGCCCAGGATGTCCTCTGTTTAGCACGTCCTGTCTTAGTAAGGTAGCTCAAATAAGTTGAAAGGTACAGACCAAAAAAAAAATTAATTTTTTAAATTCCTAATCTTGCCAGAGTTTATCCGGATGCACTGTGCTTCAAACCCAGACTGGTGGATGCCCTCTGAGGAGCAGATCAACAAAGTGTTCAGCGATGCCGTCGGTCACGCTCGTCAGGGCCGAGCAGTCGGCACCTTTTTGGGCAGCAGCGGCAGCAGCACCAGCAGCCTGTACATGGACGGCTTTGACGGACATCTTTCACAGGATGAACTGTATTTAAAAAGCTGCCAGAACGGTCAGTCGGATTGAAGTTTAAGGAGAAGTTAAAGACAAATGCCTGAAATGTAGCTGTACAACAACATATCCCAGAACTCTGACCTTATCCTGTCACTTTACACAGTGAAGAAAACATTCCAGAAGACGTTTAACATATAGACTTTATATGTCTAACGTTTAACATATAGACTACAGTCCTCCTTTTCAAATAGTTTTATAGTTTTCCCCATTTTTATACCTAAACCCTTTGTTTAGTGAAAATTGGACTCTTGGAGGTTTTAAATTGAACAGGTTGAGTCTTCCATATGCTCCTTTTTTAAAGTTTGAGCAGTTACATCACTGCCAGTGGAAAGAAGTCACTTCAAGGAGGCTGATTTATTTTTCTTTTCTTTGTTTTTACTTGTTTTTTTACAATCTACATGTGCATTTAGAGTTCATATGGAAGTTATTTATGTTAATGACCCAGTTAGAGACTTGTATGTATGTACCATTGACACCACTTATAAACTTTACCATGGAAAGTAGCACTTAATATATATTTTTTGTCACTGGTGAAGCACCTTTACTTGCAGCCCTTCAACAGGAGTGCCTCTGAGAAAATCATGTTTTGTTATTTGTAGTTTTGCACTTTGAATCTCTTTATTTTTCCCTCATTTAATGGAAGGAAAAGTGCATTTAAAAAGAGAAAAGTTTGTGAAATGTCTTTGAATCCAGCCTCCTTTGGCTGGAAAATGTTTCAATCAATGCTGCGTTGCTCCTAATCTTCATGTTAGGAAGAATATCGCAAATTAATCAAAAGCACTATATTGGAAATTGCTAAAATGTAAAAAGTCAGTTTGGTTTTGACCCAATTTCCATTTTTGGCTTGTAAGAATTCCTCACGTCTGCAAAGGACACATGACATTTCTTGTTTGAATTACTGTGTGTAGCAGTGATATAATACTGATGTTTGTCCACATAATAAACAAAAATTGCAGATTTAAGGAAAAAATGGAAGCCTGGGAAATGTTAATCAGGCTGTATCTTTTTATTTGAATGTTTGCATTTTTTACATCAATGTTTTTTTTCCTTTGCATTCTGAAAATTTGGAATTCAGCTAAAAGAGAATTTGCGGTATTTCGCGAGCATTCCCTTATTACAGTGTTGCCGTACTCGAAGCATTTCATGTCGGCATTGATCAAGACATCTGGTTTAAGGCAGCTGCCATATAATAATGCCTTAAACTCGTTTGGAGACCACCACAGTGTAAAGTGTTAAAGATGTGTGTCAGAAATCCTGTAATGTGTTTCGTTTGTGTGTCGGTCTAAAGTTTCTTTAAACGTCAATCCAAGTGGAAAAAATGTGATCACTTCATCGTTTTCCTGCAACTTCTCCAATTTGCACCTTTAAGTGTCTTACTGTAGGCAAGGCAATCCTAAAGTGAGAAGTCCACGTGCAGGATTCAACCACTTTTATTCTTTTGTGCTTATTTGACGCTCATTGACTTCACCTCACGACACTGTTTTCTGCGTTTGAATGTACCAGATTTCTTAGGTCAGTCCGCCAAGTTGACAGTGCTGTGTAAATGTGTAATATAAAGTACAGTTATTGTGTGAGGTGTCTTTGAAATACCACTTCTCCCTCTTTAAAAAGCCAAGTAGAAAAGTGCCACAGAAACCTTAAACCAGTCGGATTCTGTTGTTGTGTTGCTGTTCTGAATGTGAGCGTTGGTTTGTATTTACTCCTTTACCCTCAAAGTGGCTGTTATCAACACTGTGAAACATCAGTTGGGTTTTTACAGATATAGTTTCTGTTGTTTTTTATTTATAATAAATAAAATAATACCTGAATCCTATCTCTCTATGAAACAGTATTATCTTTGTGACATTAAAGTTTGTCAAATCCATTTTCTAATAGAGTGATCCATCTGCTGGATTAATACTGTATGTACAGGTGACTTGTGCCGGCTGGGATCTTGGCAAGAAAAGCAAACATTATACATTTAATCCATTCACAGGTCATTTCACTGTACCAAAGCAACAAAGAAGGAGACTAAGAGCATTCATCTTCAGTATTAACTTCTTATGTTCTGCCAATCAGAGATCTATCATTGACAAATACAGCTATTGTTAACAAATGTTAATGTTTACCACTTAACTAATAATAAACCAGCTGGTACATAATTTAAATACATAAATTATCCTAAAAAATGTTGAAAGCATTATAAATGTTTGACATTAGTATTTTTCATATGTGGGTCGGAGACTGTAAAATTTCTTAGGCAGGCTGCTTTTTACTTGTTTAAAAAAAAGACTGAATGAATAATAGAAACACCTGTTACTGTCCCGCTCCTTAAGCTATAACACTACATCATATTTTATATCTTAATTTTATGAATCGGCAGTGTAATTAGCTGTAATATATGTGTAGTAGAAGAAAAGGTGCATAATTCAGACGAGGGATGAAATAGAAGTCTTGTAAAATGGAAATGTTTAAACAAGCCACAAAATCCTGTGGGAGATACTACAGAAATACAAAACTGCAGGGACTTCATGAAAATGATTTGGCTGAAAGGGAGTCGCTTAAAAAAATACAAAAAACAAACAGTACGTGTGCACAATAGAGTATTCGTGGTAAGCTTAAAAACATCATCATAGTTAATCTGAAGAAAAAGAGAGGATGATAGGATGTGTTGTGTGCTTGTGCACAGCAAAACCAATGTGTGATTAATTAATAATCTAGGTAGGGAATGAAGGCAGGGTGGGCAGGTAATTTTTCCAAAGTGTCAGGTGAGAATCTAGGGAACCACGTCAGCTGTCATTGACTGTATGGCAGAAATGTCCTTTTAGTCCGTTTAGGTGTTTGCCAGGTGACTTCATATCATCTTATTACACCAGATATATCATAACATTCATGTTTTGTTTTAAATTTCTTTGCTGTCAAATTAAAATATCCTTTCCTAAGGTGGGGGACGTTGAAGTTCATAAACTTCAGACTTACTCAGCAAGGAAACAAAAAAACCTCCTTGGACAGTCACGAACATTTGGCTATTGTTAAACAGCCTATATGTTAATATTTAAATCAGTCATTTGTGATTCAATGATTTATTGTAGCTTAAGGGACATGATCACCTAACGTAATATTATATTAACCTTTTTTCTAGGCACAGTAAGCCAGGTAAACTTCAGCTGCATAAATATGAGAGCATTTTTACAACATTTAAATAATGTAACCGAGATAACAAGGAATCCGTTTGTGGTAAACAGCGCATAAAATTAGAAAGTCTGTAAACAGTTGTGTAAACTGCATGTATGACTGACCTGTCTCTGAAATCCACTAGATGGCGCTGCAGCTCCAGGACAATGTCCTCGGGAAAGGATTTTTTATCCCAACTAATATCATTTTTTTTTATTATTGTTGTTGTTTTTTATTTTTGATATTAGGAAGTAGAGCTCTCACAGGAAAAGGAGCTAGCAATATATTTTCATACATTAAAAAATGTTTGATCACTTTTAGGAGTATAAATAGTTAAAATTATACGGATCAGTTTTCATTTGCCATTTACAAAACCCGAGTAATTTGTGACCTGGAGGCCCATATAACTGGTTTTACATTCAGCTTGCACTCAAATTAGACCTGAAGTCTGGTTGGAAACAACAGGCGAACACACTAAAAGACAGAAAAACAGGATGAGCTGCAGAATATTTGGCTTTGACAGAAGGTTCCGCCCAGAAACTTAAGTAAATCCATTTCCCGCATATTAAGCGAAGCTGCTGAAGCTGGTCTTTCTGGCTCAAACGCACTGACGTCGGCTCTGAGCAGAGCTTCTGCGCGTCGGTGGATCTGATGAAGCTTTGTTGGGTGTTCCTCTTTAATTCTGCGGCATCTCTCTGGTTGTCTGCGGGCCCGTGGAGGAGGGCGGGCCGTAAACGCTGGGCAGATCTGTGGACTGTAAACTAACTGATGCGACGTGAGCCGAGCATGGATGATTTGAGCACGCAGCTCACCTAACGGGATTTGCATTTATTGAGTCATGGTAGTATGCGAAGCTGGAAGTTGAGCAGAAGCCGAGTCTGCTGTCTGGAAAGTGACCTCGGATAAACCCTCGGAGGCTTGGCCGACTTTGGACATTTTCTGCAGAGGTTTTTTGCGCAGCGCGGAAACTCCAGCACAGCGTGAAGGGAGATGATCTCCTAATCGACGGATAAAACACGCCACTAAGTAAATTAACGACTGCTGTCGCACACGCAGGGCCCCTTTGTAGCGGTGCAAGATGATGTCACTGATAGATCTGGACGATGATCAGAGATGGGTGCCCACTCATGTGAATGTCACCGTCCTCCGCGCAAAGGGACTGCGAACCAAGGGCAAGCATGGCAGCCGCTACCTCTACACCATCATCCAGGTGGGGAAGGAGAAGTACACCACCGGCCTCGTGGAGAAGGCGGAGGTGCCCGTGTGGAACGAGGAGTGCTGCTTCGAGCTGCTTCCCGGGATCCTAGAGGATGGCGGCCGGAGCGCCTACCCCCCGGGGAGCGGGGACCTGGTCCTCACGGTCATGCACCGAGTGCTTATCGGGCTGGATGTGTTTCTCGGTCAAACCATTATACCTCTTGATAAGATATTTCATGATGGAGTGTGTCCAAGAGATGAGTAGGTTGGCTTTTTATTAGTGCAACTTGCATGCCAAACGTGTTGTTGTTTTCAGTTTAGTGCCACAAAGAAGTGATGTGTCTTTTTCTTTTTTTGTCAGACTATGACAAGATTATGTTAAATATGTTTTCCAGGAGAATGATGTGCAACTTTCAGGTCTTCATTAAAAGCATGTAGTTCATGAAAGATCTTGGGAATAGTTTCCATCTCACGCAGCAGTGATTATCAGTCATGTGCAACATTACAGCCCAAAATGCAGCAGCTCCTTCCACGGGAGACTTTAGCAGTGGAATCAAATGTGCTGTTTTTGCAGGATGACGAAGAGGTTAGAAAGCTGCCAAGCCTTTAAAACTCGTTACACGCTGGCTCTTTGGCCCCCTGTCCCGATACAGAGATACTCCAGCAGCAGTTCCCACAATGCACCGCAGAAATATGAGATGAGATGCAGTTTTCACTGAGATCCATTGTAGCCAGAAGACCTCCATCTTTATCCCACATCATTTCAAAGGAAACATTTTCTCCAACTTGTAGGAGAATAAAAACATGACCTGTAAATAGGTTCCCATTAAAGAAACCCATTAATGCTTATATTCAGGATAAGATAAGAACCAGTTGAAGTAAAAGGCCAAAATATTGGCCAAACAAGACTACATTTGCTCTAAATGAAGTGTATCGCACTAAGCGCATTTGTTATAATCAAACCCACTGTCTTTCCTGGCCAAGCTGGAGAATCTCTGCAGGACTTCTGCATCCAGTTGTTGGCTGTCAAGTTGTCACAAAAGCTCCAGTATTATTTTATTTTAATGCTTTTTGCAGATTATTAACTCTGGCTTCCTTTTTTAAAACAAAAGCTGTTTATCTTTACTTTTTGTTTTTCAGTAATACAGTTGAAGAAAAGACAACAACAAAATGTTACAGCTGTATGCACGCATGCATTTTCTAAAAAAGACATCCTATTTGATGCTTTGAAATGATTTCATGTGTCTGAAAGTTATTAAACAGAAACAGTATTCAGTTTATAGAAGCATCATTCTTACACGTCTACCTTTTAAAATACTGAATTTTTTCTAGCCTTTTCTCCCCACTTAAAGGTGTAAAAGTAAAGGTGTAAAGTGTGCATGTTAGTCCCCGTAGGGAAATAGTTCCTCTGCATTTAGGCTATATTCTCCTCCCAATCCAAAGGGCTCTGGTTTTACTTTAAATTTAACCATGTGAGCAGAAGAAGGTTCTTATCCTTAGGTGTTACCCACCTTCATCTTTATATTCTGTCATTCGAGAGCTCAGCTGTGGCACAGGTGGCATAACTGGATGCATGACATTGGTGTGATACTCTTCCACTATTAACACTGAGGAGCAGAATGGAGTAAAACAATACAGCACATCTGGCTTTAATTGTGGCTTCTCCGCCCTCTCGCCTCTCTCTCTCTACGCTCTGTGAAACTCATGCTGGATTCCTGCTGTTAGTTTTGGCTCTGTAACATCTTCTCTGGTCAAGTCTCAAGACTTTAGGAGGCATGAACAGAGGAAGGATTTTATTAGTTGACCTCTCATGTTGTCCATGTCTTTTTGTCCATACGTGCATACCAGGTGTAGGTGGGTAGATCTGGAGGAATTTGAGTGGAGATCTGCTGTCTGAGGCTTACAAAACAGTTTTTCCCAGGCAGTTTGACACAATCCCTGAACCAGTATTTTCAGGTTATGTAATATTTCGAAGGGCTTGCCAAAAGGAAATGGTTGTTTTTGTTTTGTTTTTTTGTTGTTGTTGCTAAAGTTCTGATTTCACCTTTAACCAGATATGGTAACAGTATCCTGCTCACGTGCTGTATTGTATTTCTGTTTCTTTTACTTCTGCAGGTGGTTCAAGCTCAACTCGAAGGCAGGAAGAAAGGAGAAGGAACGTGGCCAGCTCCAGATAACAGTCCAGTTCACCCGCAACAACATGACAGCCAGCATGTTCGACCTCACCATGAAGGACAAACCTCGCTCTGCGTTTGGAAAGCTCAAGGATCGTGTCACAGGGAGGAAGAGGGGGGACGTGGAGTCTTCATCGGCCATCGTGCCGGGCCGTTACGCCGCCCTTTCGGGATCCCTGGGGCAGCCGTTTGGAGAACAGAGTGTAGGGGTGGTGGAATCGCGTGATGTGGAGGTAGCAGAGGAGAAGAGGAGCAAGATGAAGGATTTCTTCAAAGGCAAGCTGCGGAAGTCGTCGGACACCAGGTCGTGTTCGTCTCTGGCTTCAGAGAGTAGTTTGTCTTCCATGGCCAGTGATAACCTTGGCCCTCCACCCAGTCTGGATCTGCTGTCAGACCCTCCCAGTTCCCCCATCTACACTAGCAAAGTGAGGGTTGACTATGGGGAGACAGATTTAGCAAAAAAAGGTAGGCTTTGAAATAGTGCATAACGCAGAATTAAAGAAAAAACAAATCTTTTTTCTGTTTTCTAGCAGCCATGCTACACAAATTCCACCTACTCTAACATCACAAACATTTTATTTTTATTGAATAAAAGTCAGATGAAAAAAATCACATTTATATGAAATATACAGCATATTTAGCAAACACGGATTTTCTTTAGATTTGTGTGCAGCGGCTGTACTGATCAGGACATAGGAGACATCAGGATCTGAAAATAGTTTTGTTTGACCTCCATATCTCATCATGCATCTTAGTAATCTTTATCTCTCCTCATAAACGCGGCTGTTTCTTTGACAAAAAAGCACAAAAAAGGGAACAGACAGTTATCTCTATGGCATCACTACTTAGAAGCTACACAGCCCAAAGTTTCCCTGAATAATGGTGCAAACGCAAAACTTAAGATATTTGTTGACTGGCTTCAAAGGCAACTCCAACTATGTATGGACCATCGTCTAGATATGAGTAATGCCCGATATCAGCATAGGATTAAATACAAATAAGTATTTGATACATGTTTTGTATTTTTCAGTCTGGATTGTGAAAAACAATCTAGCTGTCATTAAAATGCAACCTTAAAATTAATTGAAAACCTGACTGAATTTTAAATATAACAATTATTTTTAATAAGTGGAAATAGTGCAAATAGTCACCCCCTTAAGTCCAATACCAACTGATGTCACTAAGTGCTGCGTTTCCTCCCTTGAAAGGCTCTGCTGGGCCTTTACTGGAGCTGCCTTTAATCACTGCTGGTTTGTGGGTCTGTCTGCATTCAGCTCTGCATTTGTTTATCAAACTGTATTCAAGAAATATTCGATTTCTTTGCCTTGACAAACTCTTGGGCTCCTGCTCTTCTATCAGCAGTCACATCATCAATAAACAATAGTGACACAGTCCCAGTGGCCAAAATACATGCCTGTTTAACAGGTGATGGTATGCTTCAGATCATGAGTCCTTTCCATTTTTTTCTCTGTCCTTGGGTTTTCTTTTCACTCTCTCTGATAGGTTTACTTAAGTTTTTCAACCAAATGATCATTTCCTTCGCATTCATCAATATCTCAATCAAATTCATGATGAGAGTTCCAGTTAAAATTATACCAAATGCACGTTCAACACTTGGAATTAACTCCGGATTTCTTATCTGCTCAATTTATGATAAAATAGCAAGAGAACAGGCCTCAATCGGTCATGTAACTGCTTGTCAATCAACTGTCCAATCACTTTTAGGCCTCAGCTGTATCAGGAAGTAAGAAGGCATTTACCATTCTGCTTAAATGTTCAGAAATAGTGTGATCTTTGCTGCCCCTAGTGGCAAAAACTCAAACATTACCGCTTCAAACCAAAAAAGAAAAAAAAAGAACCAAGGATCCTCCTCAAAATACAGATTCAGATACATAGCGTTATACAGATACAAAGCTTTGTTTGTCTTCAAATAAAAACAAAGATGTATGAAAGAAGTCCTTATTTAGTTTTATTAACCTGTTTTTCCCATCTTTTCGACAGTGCTCACCAGTCAGCACACCACAAAAGTTCTCACTCACAAGCGCGCCTTCAGCGATGAAGCTAGTAAGATCACAACGGCCTTCCCTCGAGCCAATCCTGCAGTCGAGTCACTCAAGGGACAGACCATGACTCAGTCCCAGTCATCCTTGTGTATAAATGGAAGCCATGTCTATGACTCTGAGCCATCGACCCCAAAGGGTTCTGGAGCGCTCTCGTCCAAACTGGTTCTGCTGGAAAAATGCTCCCCGCTCTCTCGCTCGCTGCAGAATCTCACCAAAAGAAGCGAGGACAAAGCTTCCTTTGCAGAGGGCCGACGCTGGTCCTTTGACAAACTGAAGAAAGAGGAAAAAGAGGAAGAAAAGGATGCTCAGGCATCGTCTACTTCTATTCAAGAAGCTCAGATAGGGGGTTGCCCTGTGCAGGCAATGACGGTCTCGTCAGCTGCTGAATCAGCTGACAAAGGAAAGAAGCTAAGAAAGACGTTCTTTTCTGGAGGGAGGAGTGATTCTCTCCCATCTAAGTCAGAACTCAGCCATGCTGGTTCCACATCAGAGGGGAGGCTCAGAGGCTGGTTTGGCTCTAGTGAATCCCAGAACAAACCAAGGTGAGTTGGGCTCATTTACGACCTCGTGTCTGCGCTTCAGACACTTTGATGATCCAGGCGCAACAGAGGCCTGTGCTCAGTTGGGTGTCCTGGGTTCAGCCTTCACTCTTCTGCCTGCTCATTTGAAAATGGAATTGATTTAAATCATAATTTTTTCCATCTTACAACCATGCTGTGCCATCACCTCATGCTATATTTTCCACAAACAGCACTCCTGCATTGCCAGTTTTTCTACCCAGAGTGTGTTTCCTTTTGTGATCAACATTTTATTGATTTAAAACGGGGTTGGGGGAGGGGGGTACAGACATATACAGCACAACTGTAAACTGCAGTAGCAAAGCAAACATTAGCAAACAAGGCATAGGGACAGCAAAGAAAAGACACAAAAACACAAAGTTAAAACCAATTATTGCCTCTTCCAGGAGATAACTCTGGATGAGAAGATTTTCCAAGCGTCAACAGTCGTGGGTCGAGCTTTATTTAATTTTGCTGTGGTATGTTCAAAACCAATAACACGGATAAGACATCGTCTCCAGAATGATTCCATACAAATGTCAGGACAGAACCATTGCTTTGTAATAGTCTTCTTTGCGGATGTGAATCCAGCGAACAACATTTTGCATTGCATTTGTTTTAAGGAGATTTCAGAGGTATCATTAAGGAGACAAAGACCAGGATTGGGAACATAAAAAACTTCCAGTACCTCAGATAACACAGAGTTCACAAAGACCCAAAAATCGGATACCACAGGACAGTCCCAAAACATGTGCAAAAACGTGCCAGGTGATGAATCATTGCAGATGTGACAGTGATACGTAGCCTGTAGTTTCATCTGGAACCTCCTACAGGGCGTAATGTAACCAGAGTGTGCTTCTTTCTGCGAGTGGTTTTGAAAAAGGATGTGAAGAATATCATTCCATGTTGACACGAGCTCACCCAACAGAATAGCTGCCAGTGCAGTTGGTGCTTGAATGGCTAAGTGCGATAGTTACTTTTCGTTGCTTGATTATTTTGCAGATGTGCTTTGCTTCTTTGTTTTATTTTACGTTACTCTTTCCATAAGTCTGTCATGAACCTCGTGAAGTTTAAAGACTGACGTTAAGCGGGAATATCCCTCTTTTGTTGAGGAATATCAGCTTGTATTCTGGTTATCTTTTCTGTTTTTGTACCAACAATGTTCCCCATCTGGTTACCTGGCACATCATTAACTAAGAGGACTATTGTGCCCTATTTCCTTCACAGGCTGGAAGTTTCTCCTAAGGTAGAACGCAGCTCAGATGTACCCCCTCCCCTCCCTCCTCGTTCCCCTGTTCCTCCTCAGTGCTCCTCTCCCTCTGCCTCTCTCTCCGGTCATGTCTCACCCGATGACTGCAGTCACATCAATGTCTTCACCCCTTCTTCCTCTCCCTCCTCAACCCCCATCTCCCCTTCCAATCCTTTCCTCCCACGTATGCAGCGCAATCCCTTTTTTGAGGAGCTCATAGCAGGAGAGTTGCAGAAGTCTCCTCCTTTTGAACCTTGCTCCTCTGCTGGCTCATCCCCCTTTCATTACACCACTCTACCTGCCCAGCCCCACACACCCACTGCTCCTCATGAAGTTAGCGCCACAAATATGGCTTCCATAAAGCGGGAGCGCCCAAGGGCAGTAGCTAGGCAGATATCACTTCCTGCATTATCGCCCAAAGTGGCCTCACCAAATTCTCCCAATCACTCCGCCCCTTGCTCCAGGTCAGAGAGTACAGGAGAATGGGAGGACTCATTTGATGCCTTTGCCTCTAGCAGGCTCAATTCCCCAAAAGTTTGTCCTCCCCAAAAAAAGCTGACGACCTGCCCGGGTTCATCTCGTAAACGTAGTTATCCCCTGGCCAATAACAGTAACTATGCACAAGAACTGCAAACATGTAATGAGGAGCCTCCACCTTTGCCTCCAAGGAGACTTTTAAGAACATCAGTGAATGAGATTTATTCTGATGGCTGGCTGCATAGAGGTCAGGAGCTAGCTGTCCATAAAGAAGCCTACCTCCTCTCTCAGACCGGTGTGGCCTCACTACAGCGTGGAAGAGAAGGAGAATGTAAAAGAAACAACATATCTCCTGACCCGCACACGAGCAGCGAGACCAGCGAGTCCCTCAGCCTGAACTCCCAGTCACACACAAACGTTACTTCTCCGGGGCTCACGCCAGAAGACAAGCTCAAAAAGTTCAAATATGAACCTCTGGAAGACGAGACTGATTGCTGGGGGGGGATGTTGTTCGAGCAAGACTTGTACGGACGTGTGTGTAGAAGAAATTATGGACAATGCAAAGTAAACAGTCATCGTTTATCGCTGAACGCCGAGGAAACTACTGGAATTGAGATCACGTCTAAGAGCTCAGGGCCTAAAATGCTTCTTGATAGTGAGATATCCGTTGCAGACCTTTTGAAAATGTCGCCCACTACTCTCTCACATGCAGATGCCAAGGCGCTAGGTATTTCTCCCACTCCAGGAGAAGACATACTGGAAACGAACCTAGCAGAAACTCCATGCACCAACAATAACATCTCTTTCTCGCTAACTTTAGGAGATCTGAACATGAATGTGAATAATACAGACTTTGGTTTTATTGATTCTGATGGGTCTTCGCACTCGGAGGTTGCCGATAAAAGTGGGACTTTACAGCAACCGCTTGAAAATTCACAGGTGGCCGTGTACCATTTGGAAACCAAACCTGAGGAAATATTTACTTTGAAGGACACTTACATCCCCGAGATGAATTCTTCATTTGAAATATCTTCCAATAAGCTGTGCAAAGTAGCTCCAGTCAGCCAAGACAATTGCCGTGATTATCGAAACGAACTGAACAATGTAGCACCGCTTGGTCACTCCAGGGTAAACAGCCGAGAAATGACTGCTTTGATGTCTCAAAATCAGACCGGTGTTTCACCAGCTGCTGAATGCAGAGAAGAAAGAAGAAATGACTATGATGATTTTAACCAGACGCAGAAGGACTTTGATGAAAATTGCAATATTCAAGCAGAGATGGGTAAACCTAACCAGCCGGAGTCATTTTCAGGGGTAGTTAGTGCACGTTTTAGACCAAAGGCAGTGTCCCGACAGAGCAGCAGCGACAGCCCAAACAGCCAAAGCAAAAGTGGAGACAGAGAGTTTGAACAGTTTTTATGTCTTGTGCAAAACATTTCAGAAATCAGTGAAGGACCGTCATCATATCAGCCCTCTAAATCAATTCTTTCTTCCTCGTTTGATTTCGATAAACAGGCAGGTTTGCTTGAATGTAGCAACAATGAGCAAACGTGTCACAGAGACTCAAACACAACATCGGCTCTATCTCTAAAAGGAAAAACAGCAGCGTGTCTTAAAGAAAACAGCGTTACAGGAAAACCTTCTGAGATCAGTTTTGAAGACCTCCACGCAAAAGTAGCGCCAAACTCGAGAAACCCTTGTGAGGCAAAGATTGGGCAATCTTTGCACGAACCCCCTTTTTCTCCCTCCATCTTGTCTGCACTCTCCCTGTCAGCTGATACACCTGTCTGCTGTCCGTCCATACATCCCTCAAGCATGGGGCCAAGTGCTGGAGCCAGCACTACGCTGGCCGTGGCCCCCTACACCTCCTCCTACTCTACCACCTTCACCACTGACCAGCCCCTGGTCGCTGCACGGCACTCACTTTTGCCTGAGGAGACACAGACAGCTAGCAACCTGCCCCGTCAGGAGAGCAGGTGAGAATCCTCACACTAGGACATCACCTGTGTAGCTATTTACAAGCTGTACTAAATTAGAAGACCTGACAATAGCCATGATTTGCACATATGTAACTGGGATGTGTTGTTGTTTTTAACTCTTTGGTTGCTGTGATAGTTTTGTTTCCTGCTGGTCCGGCTTGCTTCTCGTTGAATGCACTTGCATATATAAGTTCTGCCGTCTCATCCAAAGCGATTGGATGATTACTGCTGTAGTGCTCTTGGCTTTGCTGCACATTTATGTTATTCATCTCATGTTTCAGTTTGTGGTTGCCTATTGTATTTCTTTATTTCTTTATTCTCTTTTTGCTTTTTCACACTTTGCTGTGCCTACATTTAGCCAGTTTTTCTGCTAAAGACTCACATATGTAAACAGCACCAAAAAAGTGATAAAATATGTATTTTTCTAACCTTATTCACAAAAGTATTACATTTTTGTACTTTTGTCATGTACAAAAGTAAGGCAGGCAGCCAGAAGTGTCATTGGTGTTGAGCATTAAACGTTTATGAGACTCAGAAATCAAAAGTGTGTTTTGTGTCCCAGCTGTTTTGGGGGTGAGGTTAGAATTTTCAGCGGGACTCAATGGAGCTCAAAGAAATTACACTGAAACTCGATCTGGACAGCTGCAGCTTTTCATGCTGTGCTCCAACCTTTATGTTAAATGTTCACATGCTGCATATCTTTCCTTCAAAGAGTGAGGTCTCAGATGTGTTAAACCTCTCTAGGAAATGCCAAGCTATCATTTGACTTGGACTTGGAAAACAGTTAGAAGCAGTTATGCTGAACCGGTGTGGAAATGCTAGTGCTCACCCCTTTGTTTTTCAGGCCTCACCCAGTGAAGCCAATAACCTCTAGCCAATCAGAGAAGAAGGAGGGTCGTTCAGTTCTGGAGAAGCTCAAGTCGACTATTAACCCTGGACGCAGCACTCATCAAGTGACAGCTGAACCTGAGAAGAGTCAGGTACTGCGAAAAATACTTTGTAATCTTACTTTGTCCAGTGATGATTATTAATTAAATAAATTCTCTGTCATATTGGGATGAGGAACTCTAGAGCAGCGGTCCCCAACCTTTTTTCCACCACGGACCGGTTAATGTCCGACAATATTTTCCCGGACCGGCCTTTAAGGTGTTGCGGATAAACACAACAAAATAAAACCAGTACCGATACCAAAAAAAAGATTATTCATAACACACGGGAAAAGACCCAGGGAAACCTAATTAAAGACAAAAACGATAAAAAATAATGCTAAAAACTGATAAAACCCCTAAAAACCATAAATGTCACACCTGAGCCTCAACTCTCGCGGCCCGGTACCAAACAACTCCCGGGTTGGGGACCGCTGCTCTAGATCGTTTGAATAACACATCAGGGCAACACAGGAACAGTGCACCAGCTGCTTCCTAACACCCCCCTGTTAAACTGAAATCGCCTTCAACACTAGGAGAGAAATACTGATCCCATTACGCCTTCTAGGTGTGGCATAATTCTTTGACCTAGATAAGCATTGCACTTGAAGACAAGTGTGGAATTAATTTCATATCTGTAACTACTTACACGAGCATAGTATTTGTTTCTGCAGGAGAGCTGTTCTCTTTTACATTTCTGCATCCTGTTTAAGTAAATATGAAATGTTTCAAACTGCAGAGGATTTAAAATCACAGTTGTACTCAAGCATTTCTCGCATCGGTGAAACTTAACTAGCAAATCAGCAATATTTTTTTTCTTTTTTAATATAACACTGGATAATGTCGCCCCATGTGTGGTCAGTTGTTGGTCAGAACTTGGCTCATAGCAGTTACATTAGTTTCTAATTCACCATTTCAATTTTCAAAACACTGCACGAGTCTGACTTTGTGCAAACAGTGGAAGAATTAAGTCATTAACCTGCCATAGTAAATCACAGAAAGCCATTAGGTTTGTGACTGTTTAACGCTTCCATGAGCATTTATTGGCACCAGCAGTGCACGTGGTGCTAATAACTGCACTGCAGGACTGTTGTGATGACCTCACTGTTTCCTGTGACTCATCTCACTTTTTTTAACCACCTGCAAATGAAAATGTCCCCACTTTAACTTTTTAACACAGGGATCTGTCAATCATCAATCGTTTCAATCACATTTGGCACAGAAAGAATAATTCGACTTTCTTTCTGAGATGCTTAGAGAGCGCTGCCTGGAAATGTTTAGGTTAACGTAAACACAGTGAATCGTATGGAAGCCCGTTTCCGCCACTAAAAAAAAAAAAGGATCCATAACTCAAAATTCCAAGTTATTTTCTCGAAATTTCGACATATTAACTCGCAAGTTCGATTTATTAACTCAAAATTTTGAGAAAAGTAACTCGAAATTTCGAGTTAGCGCTGCCAATCAGTAATCTAGGTGAATGACGTCATTTCCTCGTTACCCGGAACATGAAGGCTCAGCTACAAATGCTACAGCTAAGCTACCGGTATTACATCCAGTCGTGAATGCACAGATTGCTGAGTGTTTTCAGCCTGGCTTCACAAATGATGAAATCCCTGTTATTAGCTGAATCACATGGTGGTACTATCAGCAAACGTACTCGCCAAAGCACCAATTTGTTGGGATCCGTTTTTGAGTGCGCGAGTAAATAAGTCGAAATTTCGAATTAATAAGTCGAAATTTTGAGAAAATAAGTCAAAATTTCAAGTTATGGATGCTAGCTGTTTTGTTTTTATTTAGTGGCGGAAACAGGCTTCCATAGGAATCGAGTTCAGACTCTGACTTTCACTCTTTATGCTAAGCTAAGGTAAACACATTTGCTGTCACGCCCAGAAAGAATGTGAATTAAATTCAAATTCAAATTTTATTTGTCACACACACAACCATACACAGTATGACATGGGGGTGAAATGCTTGTAGCTGTACAATGCCCGACCATTAAATGACAGAAGAAAAGTTTTACAATATTTACAATTTACTACAAAAATTTACAAATTAACTTAGGAATTAATATAGTTATTTCCTCTAAATATGATTGTTTACAGGTATTTTTCACATATGAAACCTTATTTTCCTTTGACCTGTCTTGCAGGAGGTGATGGTGGACAGGTCAGCCCAGTACCAGCACCTGACTAACATGGAGCTGATCTCCTTGCTGCTGCAGCAGGAGATGGACATGCAGAAGCAGCAAGCAGCCTCGGAGCAGCAGGAGGCGCAGCTGGAGAAATGTGAGGCCGAGCTGAAGAAGGTCAAGTCACAGGTTCGAGACCTGGAGGACTACATTGATAATCTGTTACTGCGGATCATGGAGCAGACGCCAACGCTGCTCCAAGTGCGTGCTAGGCACAAGTGAGGACAGTGCTAGTGTGTGATTGGTGTGTTTCAGGCCTCTAGGATATTGCATTATTGAAAGTTGTTATTTATGGATGAGAGTACGTAACTGTTCTGGAGGCAGATCTCCACCAAATCCGATCTCACAAACATCCAGGTCTTCTCACTGCTGATACTGCCCTGTTGATGTAGACACGATATTACCCAACATGCATGCTGGTTACTATCTCAATTTGGTACAAACAGAAAGCAGAAAAAAAGCTTTTATCAAAGCAGAAGCAAAAAATTCTTTTACTCATGCTTATGCATTAATGTAGTCAGCTGTTGTCAATTTAATCTTAAAGTCACTGCTTTCACATGTGCTTAAAATAAAAGAAAATAGGATACAGAAAAAAAATTCTGGAAATGTTTTTGATGTGCTCTGGTCAAATATGATGCTAGCTTAAGTAACACTTTAAAAATGTAGGATTTACAGCCAATTCAATTTTGACACAAGGCTGTTTTATCAGTCCCGTGAAAAAATGCATCCACAGAGGTTAACTTGAGCTAACACCATATTTTTAGATTGTATTTAAGAATAGAGGTTGTAGCAACACATAAACTGCTGCTTTGCAAAGTGGATTATATTAAAAAAATGACTGTTTCTGCATTAACATTGCTGTATGATGACCAAAAAAACAGCATTTATGTTTGTGTCAGAAAAGACTGAAGAGGATAAAGACTTACAGTTTGCATTTGCAATAAAATACTCTGTTTCTTCAGTGCTCTCCCCCTCTCCTGGAATTTTACAGGCTAAAATAGTCAGAATGTTTTAATATATTTTTAAGCTTTTGTTGTCTCTTTATGTTGAAATTATAAGATTTTACTGTAGGGATAACAGAGTAAACATTCAGTAAATAAGAGTATTATAAGTTATTTCTATCAGATAAAGTTTGTCATAATAACATCATACCTAATGCCACTCTAGTGTGACTGTAGCTACTTGCAATGCTTTACACGACCGCAGTACTGTAATATAATAAAATAAAGTGCACATGAGCCGAACCTTCCACACTACTTATGTTGTTTTTGCTACTGATCAAACTGCAGTAGGTCTGCAGAGTGACAAATCAATGCCGTCCTGCAAACTGTGCTGTATGTGGTAAGTCATACAGCAATGCTTTTTTTCTCCGCTAGAGGGCACTCCTGACTTTACAGCTTTGGTGGAAACCTGCTGGTTCAGCAGGGACCTCTGCTCTGCAACTCCATTAGAAAATTGCATCCATGACTCCACAGACCAGGCAAACACATCCCTTTGCAGGAGTGACGACGTAATTGTGCTTCTGGAAGTGTTGGTTTCAGGTGGCTGGATTATAGTAAAATAAGAAAGCAAAGACTTTATCAGGTTTGGCACAGTTCCCGTTTAGAAGGAACAGTCTGTACACACAGAAAGGGGCTCACAAAATTTAGCAGATAAAATGTAATTGCAGTCAGAGAAGGGGTATCCTTATCTTGTCCTTATGTAATAGTAGAAGATAGCATTTAAAATCTTATTTTTTTTGGGGGGGGGG